AGCCTTCCAGAGGGGACTGTATCCTCTCCTGCCGGGGACCTTCCCTCAATTTCTCTGAAGGCAGCACATGGGGGCTGCCTGACCTCACCTCCGCATACCTGCAGGGCTCCCTCGGTGCCGTGGCTATGCTGTGAGGTGCATGTGTGTGCAGGGAGGAGATGTCACATCTGTCGAGTGTCCTTCAGTGGGAGGCAACCTGGAGGCCGGTCCACCTGGTCACACCCAGGTCCTGGTGGTCCGCTTCAGTGTGCGCACTGGCAGAGGACCCGTCCGGGTGCAGCAGCTGGTGCCCAAGCTCACTGTGGTGGCTGTGTCCCTTGAAGTCCAGCGGATGGCCCTGATGTCCCAACATGAGAGGTGGCTGCAACAGGTGACAGCTAGTGCAGGGACCAGAGAGAGGACTTGGGGTCTAGATGTAGGATCCCCTGAGACCTGGGTAAGGGGAGCATTTCTGGGGGTCCAAGGCATTTGAATGTCCTACTCGGTCTCCTGCTCTGCCTGAGCCCCTCCTAGGTCTTGTTCAGGGCCCCAGAGCCATCTGTGAACAGGGTCTGTCTCTTCTGGTGTGGGGGGTCTGTCTTCCCTGGGCTGCCCCAGACTGTGCACCCTCAGGTCAGTGCCGTGGGCAGAGGGTGACTTGGGTGGTGGGCATGGACAGAGGTTGCATATGACAGCCAGGGAGCCCACCTAAGAACAGAGTTAAAGATGTGATGGAGCAAAGAGGTCCCTTTGAGGATGAAGGTGAGCCTGAGACCAGCCCAGGTATCTTCCATTGCCTCCCGTGCATGGGAACATTGGACGTCGAATAAAGAAGACCGCAGAGGAATTAATGCTGGGGAAGAAAATAGAACGGGCCATGGACGGACGGATGGACGGACGGCCAACAGAGCCACACGTCTGCTTTGGAAGAAGTACAGTCCGCATGCTTCTTAGAAGCGAGGTTGGCGAGACATTTCAAGTCCTTTGGCCATGTTATCAGGAGAAACTAGTCCCTGGAGAAGGACGTCATGCTTAGGAAAGCAGAGGGAGGGGCAGAAAGACAGAGGAAGACCCGTGGCCGGATGGATGGACACAGCGGCTGCAGCAATGGGCTCAGATTTAAGAGCAAGTGCGGGGAGGGCACGGGCCCATGTGGCGTCTCATTCTGCTGTGCGTGGGGTCACTCCGAGTCACGGTATTGCCTCAGCAGGAAGCTACAAATGCTTACCGCCACAGCTGCCGACCAAAGGGTGGAGGTTGAAGTCCACCCCGAGATGGCTCGCTAGAACACTCCGACAACCTGCTTCCTGGGACCGCCAGGCAGAGGAGCTGGCCGGTCTTGGGGACCTTGGGATGTCAGTCCGAATCTTGCAGGTGCTCACGGCTCTGTCCTGTTTTTCCCCGACCCCTGGGACCAACCCCAGGAAGCACATGCCCTCTGCCCACGTTGGCATTTCCCCAACCCCTGGGACCAGCCCCAGGAAGCACATGCCCTCTGCTCACGTTAGCTGCGAGCTGAGCTGGCATGGGAACGTCTCTTTCCAGTTCCAAGTTAGAGCCTCTTCCTTGAAGCTGCTGCGGGCCCGCCACCCCTCCCCTCCTCCCCGATCAAGGGACTCATTCAAGAGATGACCCAAACTGCCCCTGTCCCACCCCATCCCGAGGTGAGACCAGGGTGGCAGAGCTATGGGGGCGGGGGAGGGGCGGGCGGGAGGTTGCCCTCGGGTGTTGGTCATCGGAGGACCTTGGAGTGGGATGTGGTTGTCCCAGCAATCCATCTCAGGAAGTGTCCAGAGCCTACAGCCCAGCTGGGTGTGTCTCCTTCCGGCAGAGGCAGGAGTGGCCCAGCACAGGGCTGCTGCTGCCAAGCCTTTGACAGAACAACATCCACAGATTCTGGAGGGAGGTCAGCTCTGGCTGCCTTGTGTAGCACAGGGATGGTCCGATACGCGGTCTCTTATGTCAGGTTTGCATCAAAGCCTGGACCTCAGGGTCACTGTCCCTGTCGCTGTGGCCAGAAGGGGCCAGGCCTGTGGTGGGAAGCACTCGATACAGGCACAAACAGGAAGGCCTGGACAGGCATGTGCTGGGTGATCGAGAAATGGAAGCCATTTCTGGGAAGCCAGCATGGTCCTAGAAGTGGGCGTGAGGAGGGGCTGGCCCGGATGCGAGGGATGTGCAGCAGCAGCAGGGCAGGGGCCAGGGACCGACTTGGTGAGGTGAGAGACACAGGAAAAGATGGTCTCATCAAACTTTGCAAACTCCAGGTGTGACTTCTCTCATTGGGAGTCCTTAGGTCTCCCCCTGGGTGGTGCTGTGTGCTAGGTCCTGGGCTGATAACTTCAGGGTGGGCAGTTCAAACCCACCAGCCTCTCTGAGGGAGTAAGATGAGGCTGTCTGCTCCCATAAAGGGCTATACATTCAAAAGGGGGGTTTGACCAGCCTTCTTCTGAGCCTCCCTTGTGGTGCAGTGGGTTAGGTGTTCTGCTGCTAAACAAAACATCAGTGGTTTGAATCCCCAGCTGCTGGGAGGGAGAAGTGGCCTGGGAATAGCTCGAGAGATGGGTGGGGTGTCTGCTTGCAGTGTGTAGGAGGCCCTGGAAGGTGGAGACTTGGAGGAGAGAAGGTATCAGGGGCATGTCTGGGGTGGGGCAGCCTCAGCGGGGACAGGGCATTTGGGGCTGGGATGCGGCCACTCTGAGCCAGGCTGACAGAGCTGGGACCCCATCAGCCAAATGGACAGAATGGAAACTCCTAGACCAATTGGATGGAAGGAGGTCCCCTGAGTGAGACAGATCAGATGAGGATCCCTGAGTGGGGCCAGATGACACTGAGGCCCCTGAATTGGGTGCCAGAGCCATGGCCCTGTGAGTCAGGCAGATGGCATAAGCACCCTGAGCTGAGTGAGGAACTAGGGGCCCCCTGAGCCATGTGAGTCAGTGGGGAGATAGAAGGACCCAGCGCTGAACTAGTGGAGCGGGCCCTGGGAGAGCCAGGCTCTGACTGCTGTGGGTGGGTGGCCTGGAGCCCAGCAGGATGCCATCCTCCTGTCTCTGCCTGGGCATGGGGTGGGGGCAGGCTTGAGTCTTGGGCCTCACCTAGCTCACACCCCCGGGAGGGTCGCTGTGTGCCCCCACACTGTGGTGCACCCTGGCTAGCTCAAAAGGCATTTCTGAGCTTGGGGTGCAGAGGGAGAGGCTAGTGGCCACTGAGTCTTCACTTTTAGGACAGTCCTGCCCCTTGGGGGCTTCTCAGATCCTGATGTCCCCTCTGATGACAGTGTCTGCCCAAGTGGCCCATGGAGCTGGCCTACTCTGCAGTGGGTGACGGGAACCCAGCTGTGAGAACCAGAAGGGGCTCCTCCCAGAGGCCATATTTCCACCATGGATGGGTTCTTTTCCAAGCCAGGGTTCCCCTTCCAAAGTTGGGGATCCCCTCCTGATGACCCGAGGAACTTGTTCTTAGGGGTTATTCTTCTTACCTTCTTCAATTCAGTACACCTGGAATGACTCCCACCTGCCCCGGCCCACTGTCAACAATCCCCCCGAGCCTCTGTCACACAGTGGATAGATTCCCCCACGTCCACTAGGGTCCCCGGGTGCAGAGGAGGGGGGCCTGGCTCACCGCCTCCTGTACGGGGAGGGACTCCAGGACTATTCCCTTGGTCCGGCTTCCAGGGACAGCGGTGTGGATGCTGTGTGCATGGCAGCCCCAGACCCCCCCACAGAGCTGGGATTGAAGCACAGACCATTCTGCGAGGAGCGGCCAGGGCGGCCGCTGCAAGGGAGGCCCTGAGACATCCAGGCTCGGCTGGTGGCGGCCAGTGGGTTCTGCAGCGGTGGCTGGCACATGCCAGATCCCAGGCCCCACCCGGTCAGCGGCCCCGCTGAGCCACTTGGAGACCAAACTCAAGAGGCCAGCCAGGAAATGCAGAGGGACCCAGCGTTTATAACACAACTCAAGCCAAGCTCCACTTGATTCCGACCATGGTGGTGCTACAGGGCAGAGTAAAACTGCCCCATTAGGTTTCCGAAGCTCTAAGTCATTATGGTAGCAGACAGGCCCCCGTCTTTCTCCATCAGAGCCACTGGTAGGTTTGAAGCGCCAAGCTTGTGGTGGCTAGCAGCTCAATGTGCAACCCACTACAGCACCAGGGTTCCTTAGATGGCACCCAAGCCCCCCTCCTTGGTAGCCTGGGAGGAGTCAGGAAGGTCCCTAGGGCCAGCCCTGATAGCGCTTTCTTGGGACACTTGTTCCACTAGCCCGGTGGTGTTCCCTCAGCAAAGGAAATGCATCCTGGGAAACCCTGAGGCCGGAATCCCATGTCACTCAGGGAGAGCAGCAGGCTCAACACCACAGCCTGTCGCCTGCCAGTGACTTGACAGCAGGAGCCCCATGCTGGCAGCTCACTTGCCCACCTGAGACACAGGGTTTGCATCCCCTCTAGAGTGGCCCTCTGGCAGCTGGGCTTCACACCTGTCCTTCAGGGGGGCCTTGTGGTCATTGTACTCTCAGAGCACTTGGCCATCCAGGTGGAAACAGGGGGACTGGCCCATACTTGCCACATGCCCAGAGGAGAGGGGCCCCACAAAGGGGGCATTTGCTCTGCCCTGCCCTTTGGGTTCAACTCATTCCTGGGGAGATTCCAGAGTGTGGGAGGGAGTACAGGTGCCTCTCCAGAGCAGGGCAGACAGGGGTAGGGAATGGGTCAAGATAGACCCCAAGCCTCTTCCACCAACAGTTAGGCCACTGCAGAGTATGTGGCTGACGGCCACCCCCACCACCTGGCCCAGACCTCAGGCCCTCCCCTCCTCCTCAGCCCGGTCCCCACAGGAGAAGCTGGCACCATGTGGTCTGCACAGAGGAGTGGGGTCGCCCATCCTGCCCACGTCCCCCAGCCAAGTGGCCTCTCGCTGGGGCCAAAGGCACACCAGCCAGCCCTCCTTCAACCTCCCCTCCCCACCAGGCTGGCTCTATCCCCAGGTTGGCGCAGCCCACTCCCGGTGCCCCCGCGGCCCTACCTCCTCCGTGGCTCTGGCACAGGTAAGGGAACCGCCAGACGTTGCCCAGCCCGACGCAGAAGCCCACGCAGGTCAGCATGTACTGGGCCTTGTTGTCCCACTTGGGCCGCGATGAGGCCTCCGAGGCCTCCAGGGCGTCCAGCTCGCCCAGGGACGGGATGCGGTCCTCCAGGCCCGGGTTGGGCAGCACGAGTCTCACCATGGTGGTGTTGGACGGGGCTGGCGGGCAGCAGGTAGCAGGCAGGCAGGGCAGCAGCCAGGGGGCGAGTGGCCACTGCCGGGTGCCCCGTCCTTTATAGGAGAACCTTTGGCACCTCACCCAGCACCTGGGCCGAACAGAGGCGTCAGCAGATCCACAGGGGTGAGTCCGCAGGGGTGAGTCCCAGGACGGTTAATGCCTTATCTGCCAGGTGCCCGCCCACGGCCACCAGCGGGCCAGCCCGGCCCCTCCCCGTGGGGTGCACGTGCAGGTGAACCGCCCCCACCTCAGACAGTGACGGGCTGGACGCCTGGACAAGCCTTGTATCTGTTGACCCTCCGGCTGGTCGGGTCACCATCTGTGTGGCAGACTCCTCCACCAGCCCCCGCCCCTCACGGCCTGCCTGCCACCTGCCACACCCACCTGCGTGAGGGAGGGGGAAGCTGCCTGGGTCAGATGGCTTGTCCCCACCTGAGGAGGGGATGGGAGCCCCTATCCCCTATCAGGCCTGTGTGCTCCCAGATCCCTGACTCTCCAGGCCCCTCCAAGCTCTGGGCTGGCCTCCCATATCTCTGGTCCCTCCAGGGTCCAGGCCCACTTCTGATCCAGCTTGGAAGTCCTGTGAGCAGCCCTGCTTCTGGTGGGGATCCAGGCAGCTCCACCGGCTTGTTCCCTCAAGTTCCTCTTGGACCAGCGATTGTCCCCGGCTCCTCAGCACCTGCTGCTGCCCCTCCGGCTATCCGTGGTGATCGAGCTTCCAAGGGACGCCTGTGGGACTCAGGTGTCCTGGAGTGGCAAGGGCAGCCGTTCCCCAGCCACCAGTTGCTCCTCGCTGGAGAGAGAGGAGTCTTTCTGCTCCTGTGAAGAGCTCATCTCAGGAACCCACAGGACAGTTCTACCCTGTCCTAAAGGGTCACTGTGAGCCTGAATCAACTTGATGGCAGGGACACCTGCTCAGGGAGACGAGGAGGCACAGAAACCAGCTGCATGGCGGGATGGGAGGACACCACAATCTTGGGGCCTGGGAGGCAAGGGAATGACCGTCTCCCCGCCCCACTCTCAAGGGAGAGGCAGAGGATCTTCACATGCAGCGAGTCCCCACCACTGTGGTCTCTGCACCATGGGTCGCAGGTGCTCCCCAAGCCCCCATTGGACAGCCAGCCCCCAGGCAGGGCTGTGCACCCCGTTTCTGCCCCCCCTGCCCCCCTCCAGCTGTCAGTGGACCCCCATGGCCCTTCCCCTTCCGTACCTTGTTTGTGTCTAGAGGGCAGGGAGTCACCTCCCCACCACCTGGGCTTCCACGCCAGAGGCCAGGATGGGTTCACGCCTTGGCCCTTGAACAATGGAAGTGAAGAGGGGGGGGCGGGACAAACAGCTACAGAAGCCTGACTTTTGTCCCAGGAGAGTGGGGTCCTGGAGGGAGGAGGCTTTGCGTTAGGGGGCCACTCAACAGTTTCCTAGAAAAGTGCTGCCATCTTTGAATCCCGTTTCTCCACGGACTTGAAGCCCCTTCATGCTTGGCTCTGAGATTGGGGTGGGGGGGAGATGAGGGCAAGGATAGGAGACTTGAGAGGGATGAGGTAGCCCAGGCAGGGGTGGGGTGTGGGGGATGAGGCTAGTCCAGGCAGGGGTAGGGTAAGGACCACGGTCCTTACTGGGTCATCTGCAATCAGGGGAGGGTGGAGCCCTGTGTGCATAGCAGAGCTGTGTTCCATAGGGTTCCCTATGGTCTGTTTGTTCAGAAGTAGACCACCAGGCCTTTCTTCTGAGGCACCTCTGGGTGGACTCAAATCTTTCGGTGAGCAGCCGGGCATGTGAACTGCTTGTACCAGTGGGGATACCACACCAAGCCAAAGTCCGCTGGAGAAAGGGGTCCCTACGAGTGCCAGGAAGCTTGGTGATGAGGTCAGTGGGCAGCAGCCCCAGAAGGACAATACCAGGGTCTCTGAGCACCACTGCAGACTGGCACGCCGGCAGCGAGGAGAGGGCGTGGGTGACATGCTAGGGAGTCTGAGCAGGGCCGTCAGCAGGCCAAGAGGTGGAGGGCAGGGTCTTCCTTCTCTCAGCAGTTCTGGCCCCACTGTCTGGGGCGCCATGGCTCTGAGGTCCTGCCACTGCTTCTGTGACAGCATGGTCTCCCAGTGTCCATGTTCTCCTGGGCTGTCCCTGGTCTTCTGAGTTGTTCATGATCTCCTGGCCCATTCGTGGTGGTCTCCTGAGGTATCTGTGGTCTCCTGGGTCATCCGTGGTCTTCGGGGCTCCTGGGGTGTCTGTGGTCTCCTGGGCTGTCTATGGTCTCTTGGAGTGTCTTTGTTCTCCTGGGCCATCTGTGGTCTTCTGATCTCCTGAGGTGTCCGTGGTCTCCTGGGCCGTCTGTGGTCTCCTGGGTCGCTATGAGTTGGAACCCACTGGATAGCACCTCACAACAGCAACCACCACCACCACGACAGAACTTTACTAGAATAATCACAAGAAGACCCTTGGATGAGGAAGACAGAAGGAGCATCCATGCATCTGAATTATGGCACTGGCTAAGAAGATTGAAAGTACCACAGATTGCCAAAAGAACGAGCAAATCTACCTTGGAAGAAGTGTAGCCAGATTGTTCCTTGGAAGCCAAGGTGGACATATTGTCCTATCGGACTACTTTGGACAGACTGTCAGGAGAGACCAGTCCCTGGAGAAGGACATCCTGCGTGGTTAAAGTAGAGGGACAGTGAAGAAGAGGAAGACGCTGATTGACACCGTAGCCACAACAGTGGGCTCGAGGATAGCAACCATTGTGAGGGTGGTGCAGGACAGGGCCATGTTTTGTTCTGTTGTTTATAGGGTCGCTAGGGTTTGGAACGTGACAAGCCCTACAAACAACAACAACAAATATCGAGAAAGCGTGCCGCCAAGAAAGCCTTTGCAAGTCCACCAGACCCTCCTGGCTCGAATTCTCTGCAGTTGAGTAGGGACGGCGCTCCCCCTCTTAAGTCAAGAGAGGGCCACTTGGAACAAATTTTGCAAAGTGCCCTTTGGCCATCATGAGTAAGCACGAAGGGTGGATGCCGAGGAATTCCATCGGAATCACTCTTGTTGGAGGGTATCCATAATTATTCCTCAATTGATCCCACTCCCCAGCCCCAGGGCATTTTGCTCAGCCCCCATCATTGAATCATGTTTCTTCAGCCATTCTTCTGAGAACCAATTATTCTTTTAACCTCTCTAAGATGTTTTATTTATTATTTTTTAAACAGCTTTATTGGTGTACAGTTCACAATCCAAGTAATTCAATAGTTCTAACAATAGTTCCATAGTTATACTAAGAAGAGTTGTATGATCAATTTTAGAACATTTTCTTCACTCTTGTACTCCTCGTTATTAGCTCCTCATTTCCCTACAGCCTCCCCTGCCAGACCCCCAAGGGACCATTAATCCAATTACTGCCTCTAAAGATTTACCTATACTGGATTTCATATGTAGAAAAATAGATCTATTTTAAGCTAACAACAATAACAAAGTAAAACAGAGAAAAATCTCAATAGAAAAGGAAGCAGAAAACATTAACAACCAGAACATAGTAAAATGGATCAAAAAGGAGATCAAATGATTAAAGAGTTAAATTTTAACCTAACTGCACCTGTAATCATCCACTTTCCAATGTGCTCTGCGTGGTAGGAAGGGAATTCGCATGCCTGTTCTATGGTTGGAGGGGATTCCCCAGATGTTTAATCCACATATATTCCCCTTCACATTTTTTTTCATTGAAACAACTTTAAGATGGGTCAAAAGGGAGCTAAAATGACAAGATATTGCATTCTGCCCTAACTACATCTGGCACAATGGGCTACTCACCCCCCTCAGCCATGCTCGGAGAAGGGTCCCTGGGGGCTAATCCACGTGTGGGCCCTGCAAGTAGATTGTGGGCTTCCACTGTCATTCATACCTTCTGCAAACCAGATGTTCACCGTTTAAACTCTGATGCCCTTCCCTCCTTCAGATATGGGTTTTTACAATCCTTGGATCACACAGGGTACTATGCTTCTCCCAAGTGGTCTAAGTTGACACATCTGCTTGTTTGATGGCTGCTTGTTTAAAGACATACCTGTAAGATTCCCAGACGCTATTTCTTCTGATAGTTGGGCACCATCTAGTTTCTTCACTGCACTTTGCTATAGTACCCATATCTCCAGTGTTCTCTTCATGCAGATGAGCATCAAGCAGGGCCATGTCATAAGAACCAACTGTTCTTTGATTGGGCCTAGAATTCAGTGCAAGCCCCAAATTCATTCATACATCTATGTTTTCTTTGTGTCTCTGGTTCATATTAGAGTCATAATTGTCATTTTATGTTAAAGGACATTATTAATCGTCCCCCTGGGGCATATTCAACTCATTCTATTGATAGTGTCATTAGTTTAGCCAATGCTATAGATTTTAAAACACTACTAGAAAAGGACTTATATGAGTATAGGGAAACTATGAACCTCAATATATGAATTGTTTACTTGTACAGATTAAACTCTTAAGTGACTGGACACTATTTACATAAACAATGTTGGTTGGTGAAAGGGCAAAAACTCTCCATAATATTCATTCACAACCCATCAGATTAAGATGTGTCTTAACAAAGCAAGGATGGCATTAGGATAGTAAGTGCATGGTAGTTCCTGCCCACCATCCACTGGGCACCCTCGATACAAGAGATCTGAACCAAAGTCCACCATATGCCTGTCTATGCCCTTGGGACAGCAGTTATATGCTGCTTCTCACACTAGGGAGCTTCAGCCTGAAGTCCAAGACCTACAGGTGAGTTTGAGGTAAATCCCAGTTCACGTAGAGGAACTTCTACATGTCCTTCTGGTGTGGTCTATAAGGTATGTTGTGTGCCTTGAAAACACAGAGTCTGATGTCCCAGTAGTCTATGGCACAGTGTGGGTCACCGAGAGCAGGAGAGACACTAGATCAGAGGGGTCCCATTAGGAACATAGCACCAGGCATCTTCTCCCCTGGTGGTCTATGTAAATATTGTTCACCATCTTTTTCCCAATGAGAGGTTGCTGCTCCCCACTTCCCCACCAACAGAAAGGCAATGG